TGCATCCCCCCTATGCATCCCCCCTATGCATCCCCCCTATGCATCCCCCCCTATGCATCCCCTCCCATGCATCCCCCCTATGCATCCCCCCTATGCATTCCCCCCTATATGCATCCCCCCTATGCATCCCCCCTATGCATCCCCCTATGCATCCCCCTATGCATCCCCCTATGCATCCCCCCCTATGCATCCCCCCTATGCATCCCCCCCTATGCATCCCCCCCTATGCATCCCCCCTATGCATCCCCCCTTATGCATCCCCCCTATGCATCCCCTATGCATCCCCCCTACGCATTCCCCCTATGCATCCCCCCTACGCATTCCCCCTATGCATCCCCCCTATGCATCCCCCCTTATGCATCCCCCTATGCATCCCCCCTTATGCATCCCCCCTATGCATCCCCCTATGCATCCCCCTAAGCATCCCCCCTATGCATCCCCCCTATGCATCCCCCCTATGCATCCCCCCTATGCATCCCCCCTGTGCATCCCCCCCTATGCATCCCCTTTATGCATCCCCCCTAAGCATCCCCCCTATGCATCCCCCCTATGCATCCCCCCTACGCATTCCCCCTACGCATTCCCCCATGCAACCCCCCTATGCATCCCCCCTATGCTTCCCCCCCTATGCATCCCCCTATGCATCCCCCCTATGCATCCCCCCTAAGCATCCCCCCTACATCCCCCTAAGCATTCCCCCCTATGCATCCCCCCTATGCATCCCCCCCTATGCATCCCCCTGATGCATCCCCCCTATGCATCCCCCCTATGCATCCCCCCCTATGCATCCCCGCCTATGCATCCCCTTTATGCATCCCCCCTAAGCATCCCCCCTATGCATCCCCCCCTATGCATCCCCCCTACGCATTCCCCCCTACGCATTCCCCCTATGCATCCCCCCTATGCATCCCCCTATGCATCCCCCCTATGCATCCCCCCTATGCATCCCCCCTATGCATCCCCCCCTATGCATCCCCCCTGTGCATCCCCCCTATGCATCCCCTTTATGCATCCCCCCCTAAGCATCCCCCCCTATGCATCCCCCCTATGCATCCCCCCCTACGCATTCCCCTACGCATTCCCCCCCATGCATCCCCCCTATGCATCCCCCCTATGCATCCCCCCCTATGCATCCCCCCCCTATGCATCCCCCCCTAATGCATCCCCCCCTATGCATCCCCCCCCTATGCATCCCCCCCTAAAGCATTCCCCCCCTATGCATCCCCCCCTATGCATCCCCCCCTATGCATCCCCCTGATGCATCCCCCCTATGCATCCCCCCTATGCATCCCCCCCTATGCATCCCCGCCTATGCATCCCCTTTATGCATCCCCCCCTAAGCATCCCCCCCTATGCATCCCCCCCTATGCATCCCCCCCCTACGCATTCCCCCCTACGCATTCCCCCCTATGCATCCCCCCTATGCATCCCCCCCTATGCATCCCCCCCTATGCATCCCCCCCTATGCATCCCCCCCCTATGCATCCCCCCCTAAGCATCCCCCCTATGCATCCCCCCTAATGCATCCCCCCTATGCATCCCCTCCTAAGCATCCCCCCCAATGCATCCCCCCCTACGCATTCCCCCTATGCATCCCCCCTATGCATCCCCCCTTATGGCATCCCCCCCTATGCATCCCCCCTATGCATCCCCCCCTACGCATTCCCCTATGCATCCCCCCCTACGCATTCCCCCCTATGCATCCCCCCCTATGCATCCCCCTTATGCATCCCCCCCTATGCATCCCCCCTTATGCATCCCCCCCTATGCATCCCCCCTATGCATCCCCCCCTAAGCATCCCCCCCTATGCATCCCCCCCTATGCATCCCCCCCTATGCATCCCCCCTATGCATCCCCCCCCTATGCATCCCCCCCTGTGCATCCCCCCCTATGCATCCCCCTTTATGCATCCCCCCCTAAGCATCCCCCCCTATGCATCCCCCCCTATGCATCCCCCCCTACGCATTCCCCCCTACGCATTCCCCCCCATGCATCCCCCTATGCATCCCCCTATGCATCCCCCCCTATGCATCCCCCCTATGCATCCCCCCCTATGCATCCCCCCCTATGCATCCCCCCCTAAGCATCCCCCCCTATGCATCCCCCCCTATGCATCCCCCCCTATGCATCCCCCCTATGCATCCCCTTTATGCATCCCCCCCTAAGCATCCCCCCCCTATGCATCCCCCCCTATGCATCCCCCCCTACGCATTCCCCCCTACGCATTCCCCCCTATGCATCCCCCCTATGCATCCCCCCTATGCATCCCCCCCTATGCATCCCCCCCTATGCATCCCCCCCTATGCATCCCCCCTATGCATCCCCCCTAAGCATCCCCCCCTATGCACCCCCCCCTATGCACCCCCCCTATGCATCCCCCCCTATGCATCCCCCCTATGCATCCCCCCCTAAGCATCCCCCCCTATGCATCCCCCCCTATGCATCCCCCCTATGCATCCCCTCCTAAGCATCCCCCCCAATGCATCCCCCCCTACGCATTCCCCCCTATGCATCCCCCCTATGCATCCCCCCCTTATGCATCCCCCCCTATGCATCCCCCCTATGCATCCCCCCCCTACGCATTCCCCCTATGCATCCCCCCCTACGCATTCCCCCCTACGCGTTCCCCCCTATGCATTCCCCCCTATGCATCCCCCCTATGCATCCCCCCTTATGCATCCCCCCCTATGCATCCCCCCTATGCATCCCCCCCTAAGCATCCCCCCCTATGCATCCCCCCCTATGCATCCCCCCCTAAGCATCCCCCAATGCATCCCCCCCTACGCATTCCCCCCTATGCATCCCCCCTATGCATCCCCCCCTATGCATCCCCCCCTACGCATTCCCCCTATGCATCCCCCCCTACGCATTCCCCCCTACGCATTCCCCCCTATGCATTCCCCCCTATGCATCCCCCCCTATGCATCCCCCCCTATGCATCCCCCCCTACGCATTCCCCCTATGCATCCCCCCCTACGCATTCCCCCCTACGCATTCCCCCCTATGCATTCCCCCCTATGCATCCCCCCCTATGCATCCCCCCTATGCATCCCCCCCTATGCATCCCCCCCTGTGCATCCCCCCTTATGCATCCCCCCCCTATGCATCCCCCCTATGCATCCCCCCCTAAGCATCCCCCCCTATGCATCCCCCCCTAAGCATCCCCCCAATGCATCCCCCCCTGCGCATTCCCCCCTATGCATCCCCCCTATGCATCCCCCCCTATGCATCCCCCCCTACGCATTCCCCCTATGCATCCCCCCTATGCTACCCGACCCATCCGTTCCTGTAGGACTCGTAGGAGCTGGGCGGCGGAGCCATGGATGTGGACATGAATGTGGACATGGATGTGGACATGGATGTGGCGGGGATGGGGCTGGAGGCGGAGCGAGCGGGCACAACATGAAGACCCAAACAGATGCTCTCTCACCCGTTTCTGCAACCCCCCCCCCCCACCCCCCCTCCTCCACCCCCCCTCCCTCCACATCCCTCTCTCCTGTTCCTCCCCCCTGTCCCCGCCCCCTCAGCCGCCTGGCAATCCGCAACACCTTGCATCGGAAAGTCGCCATGAAGCCGGGGTACCCGACCCACCCGTTCCTACAGGACTCCGAGGAGCTGGGCGGCGCAGCCATGGATGTGGACATGGATGTGGCAGAGATGGGCCTGGAGGCGGGCGAGCAGCACCCGCTGGAGAAGCTCGCAGACTCGGACTTTTTTAACAAGTTCGAAGACGACTTCGAGGATGAGGACCTGGCGTAGGGGGTGGGGGGGGGGGCAGAGGGGGATGAATTAGTGGCTGGAGGGGGTGGGAATAGGGGGTGAGGGGTTGGGGGACAAGGGAGGATGGAGGATGGACTTTTTCAACAAGTATGAGGACAACCCTGAGGACGAGGATCTGCCGTAGGTGCTGGGAGGGGGTGAGGGACGCTAGGGTTCCAGAACTTTGACGAGGACTTAGAGGGCGATGACGTAGAGTGGGGGGTAGGGGGGTCCTACTAGAGCCCTTCATGGGTCTGGTTCTGATAGACGCTGGCCGGAGTGTGGCATGGTGTGACGGTCCATCGGTGGCAGCAGCTGCTCTGCTGAGCACTCAGCTTTGGGAGTGACAGGGTTGCGCTCCGCTGACCAAGCCGCCTGACGCCGGGGCCATTCCCTTCTACTAGGTACTCGTTCAAGACAACCCAAACCTTCAGCAGCGAATTGTTGAAGCCTGTTCCACGACCAGATCGCTCCAAACGTAGTGAGCTTGTTGTCAGCAGACAATCGCTGTATGGTACTACTGAGTCACTGAAGGCGTCAGTGTAAATCGTGTGATACGAAGGAGTTTACTTCTGAGATGCCTTAAAACCCTCAAGCTTGAAATAATTTGCATATCACTTCACCACTACCACAAGTCGTACACGAGCAGTAAACTAACTCCAGCACCAAGGGGAGGTGATGCGTGTGCAGGGGAAGGGGGATACCGTTCTTATAAATACATAAAATACCCCGCTTCCGTTGAACACACCCTAGTGCTCACTCCAAAAAAGGTCCTCCAGGGCCCCAGTCCAGTATAAATTTTACAGTCTTCACACTGCTGAAGCACATACTGCATCATCTGAACAAGACAATCCCAAGACACAGCGCAGGGAACCACCGACACATGCAGCTGCGTCACAGAAGCCACATGATTGAGAAAGGCTGCCGCCTCCCCTCCCCTGCTTCTCCCCTCCCCTGCCGCCTCCCCTTCCCTATCGCCACTGCCACCACCGACCCCCTACACTATAGCCATCCTCCCCACCCACCCGAGGGAGAGGGATGGATGGAGGGAGATATGAAGTCCCCTCCCCTGCCCCTCCCCTTCCCCCCCCCCCCTATGTCTCCACTGCAATCACCGACTTCACAGCATGTCCAGCCCCATCCACCCATGTGAGGCTCCCAAACTTCCACCCACTGCCCCCCCCCGCCCCCGCGCGCGGAGTGAGCTTAACAGAGAACCTGACAGCATTGGCCACACCCGTCTGGATCGTGAACGAAGCCGGAGTGACCTCCACGTCCACCCCTGCCGGCTCCACCACGCGTGCCGTGTACGTCGCCACATCCCCCAGGTTGGTCACCGTGCGCGAAACCGTCACCGCGCCCTGCAGGTTTGACACGGCGATGGTCGGGCGGTTGAGATCGCGGGCAGCAATTGGCGACACGTCCTGCCCCTCCTGCAGTAGTTTCCCCACAAGGGCCGCATTCTGCCCTGTGAGGAACCTCACGAAGTGCGGCACCTCCATGTTGTACGCCAGCCCGGGGCCCGGGTTGAACAGGCTGTCCACATCCACGTGGCCCGCGCCCATGGCCATGGGCGACAAGGAATCCGGCTGCAGAGGGTCCTTGTTGACCATGCTGGCGTTGGCCGAGGTGGTGATGGCGGACATGACCTGCACGGGCGTCCACGTGGGGTTGCGCTGCATGAGCAGCGCAGCCACGCCTGCCACGTGCGCCGCAGCCATGGACGTCCCAGACCCCACCCTGAAGCTGGCGTCGTCGGCGGGGGTTGCGCTTCTGGCGGCGGCCCAGATGAAGGCCCCCGGGGCGACGACGTCGGGCTTGAAGACATCGGTGGTGGCGCCCAGGGAGAGCGGGCCTGATGCGGACGCGGCGTACATGACGGGCGCTATGAGGTCCCTCTTGGTGGTGAAGGCGGGGGAGAGGGACGCACGGGGACTGCAGGGTAGGGCGTGGGGTGCACAGGAGGAGCGGGAGAAGGGTGAGACGAGTGAGGGAGCGGAGGGGGGGGTTGGGGAGGGAGGCAGCACTTATGGTGGCAAAGATGTGCTTCCAGTTGTAGGTCATGCATCCACAAGCATGGTGCCCCTGCCTTGCAGCGAGGACAGAAGTGCGCACTCGAGCACAAGCAGACCCCGAGACTGAGCAAGTGTGGTGTAGTGGCAAAGCGAGGGTGTGTGCGCGCGTGCGGTGCGGTGCGGCACGTACTTGGGCGTTTTGAGGAAGGCGAGCAGGGCGTCGGTGTCTAAGACGCTCACACCCACGACGGGCAGGGCCTTGGCGTACGGCTGGTTGGTGCGCGGCGAGCTGTGCAGCACCACGCCCAGCGCGCCCTTGGCCTTCGCCTCGCCCACCTTCATGGTCAGCGGCACGTCGCCTCCCGCCACACACACCACCAGCTTGCCAGCTATCAGGGCCTTGTCCAGAGTGCCCGCCGCACACTGGTCCGCCTGCCAGGGGACAGAATGGGAGGCGCGGGAGAAGGGTTGGGTTGAGATGTGCACGTTGCACATGGGGTTACAAGTGGTGGTCTGGGAGGTTGAAGAGAGCAGACGGTTAAGTTCTGCTGTGTTTGCCTTCCAGTAGCAGCACTCACCTTGGGAAATCAGCACCTTATAGAGCACAAGCCTCAGCTCTGCTCTGTTTACCTTGGTAGCGTCAGCGGATGCGAGCTTGGCGGCCGGCGAGTGCACGATGGGCACACTGGTGATGGCGGCAGTGCCCGCCCCCAGCCCGTTCACGTCGAGCACATTGCCGTTGGAGAGAGTGAGCGTTGCGGAGAAGCGGCGGTTGATGGTGCTGCAGGGGGAGAGGGGATGGGCGGAAGGGCAAGGAGGGAAGGAAGGGGGAGATGGAGAGAGCACAAGCGAGCAGGGAGTGAGCCTGGGAGGCCAAGGGAGTATGTACGTGTAGCATGGTTATGTATGTATGAACTCAAGATGCAGGGCCACAGTGCATGGTATAGCAGCAGGAGCAGCAGAAGCAACCAGCAGCTCCACTTGTGATCCCCACGTCAACAGCATACGATGCACCACAAACCATCACCGCTCTCCAAACCTCCCTTCAACACTCCTTCCCACACTTCTCTCTTTCCCACATTCCTCAGTTCCCCCCTCCCCTCCCCCCAGCTCCCTCCTCCCCCGCCCCCGCCCCCTCCCCCACACACCTTGCCCCCACAGTGAGGTAAAACGGCGAGAAATTCGCTATAGTGCGTGTGCTGTCGCTCCCCTTCCCGCCGTTCCCAGCAGCAGTCACGACCAGCGTTCCAGCCATGCTCGCATAGAGCGACGACAAATCGTCAAAGTAGGTCTGCGCGCCGTCCACGGCGCCCAGCGCGAGCAGGATGACATCGCAGCCGTCCGCCACGGCCTGGTCCATGGCCTGCTCGATGTCCGCCGTGGTGGCCACTATCCCCTGCGAGTTGGCGTTGCGCCAAAACACCTTGTATGCCGCGATGCGCGCCCGCGGCGCCACGCCACTGCCCTTGCCCACGGTCTGCCCTCGCGCGACTGTCATGGGCGTGTCACGATTGCCCGCTGCCGCGCTGCAGGAAGGGCGGAGGGCGGAGGGCGGAGGGCGGAGGGCGGAGGGGGTAGTGGGGAGTGTGGGGGGGGGAGGGCGGACAGGATGGAGACTCGAAGGGTGAGAAAGGAGGTGGGAGCATGAGAGCGGCCCCGGGAGCGAAGGTAGGGATTGCATTGAAGGCAGGCAGTATGGGCACATGACAGTGCGCGGGTACCGGCAGGGAATGGCGGCGGCAGACGAAGAAAGCAGCAGCAGCAGGAACAACGTTTCAAACGAGCCCCAATAGCCAGGCGATGACCAATAAGTCGATATGAGCGACAAGGGGCTATGGGAGGCAGAACAAAGCGAGACATCTGGTGGTAAGGCGCACACTTACTTCCACCAAAGCACAACAGAGAGAGGGAGAGAGAGGGGGAGAGGGACAACGGAAACAAAGGGAGCAAAGGAAAGGAAAGCGGGGGGCGCGAAAGAAGCGAAGCAAGCCACTTACGCGGCGACCCAGGAGCCATGGCCGTCGGCGTCGCGCGGCGAGCGCCAGTCGCTGGCGGTGTCAATGGCGCCGAACTGGCTCTCAAAGGCCTTGAGGAAGTAGCTCGCCTGCAAGACCTTGCGCGTGCACCGCTGGAAGTCCGCCGTGCGCTTGCAGTCCGCGGGCTGCCCGCGCCAGGTCTTAGGGAACACGCCGTAGCCATCCTGGGGGAGAGGGGGTGGGGGGGGGATGAGATAGTGAAAGCGATGAAGGGAAGCTGTTGAGTGCGCGTGCGAGAGAGAGGACACGAGAGAGGACTCGCACCCCCTCCCGCACCCGCACCGCCACCGCCACCCCCTCCCCGTCGCGCTTACTTCCCCGCAAGCACACACACACCCACGCGCCCGCGCACCCGCGCACCCACGCGCCGTACCTCGCTGAAGGAGGGGTGCTCCGGCCAGACGCCCGTGTCGACGACGCCGATGACGGCGTCGTCGCCCGTGTAGCTGGCGCCCCAGAACGTGCCGGGCAGGTCCAGAAGCAGCGGCGTCTCGCTCGTCTGCTTCTGCACCGCGCGGCTGCGCACCACCTGCAGCACGCGGCTGTCGCTCCGCAGGCTGTCCGCCTGCGCCGCCGTCAGCACGGCCGCGAAGCCATTCGAGATGTAGCAGTACCGATACAAGATGTCCCGCGTTACGTTAGTGAGCCCGGCTTGGCGCGCCACCTTATTCTGCTCGTCCTCCAGCGCCGTTACCAGGGATTGGATCAGCGCGCTCCACCGGTCGAACCACGGCCGCCCGTTTCGAGTCACCGCGCCCCAGTCTGAAGCTAGCTTCCGCCGGTTTCTCCCCGCCCCCCGCGCAATACCGTCCCCATCTTGCGCCATCCGCGCGGAAACACGTTCCGCCGACGGCAGAGACTCCGTCAGCAGCCTCCGCGTCGCCCCCGCGCCCGACCCCCCGGTTCCGCCACCACTCCCGGAACTCGCGGCACCACTGCCCGCGTCGCTGGCGGACGCGGCGGCGACGGATGCGGCGAAAGCGGCGGACATGGGGGAAACCGCGTCGGGGCTGAGCGCGCCGTAGAACTTGAGGTCCGTGGGTGACGGCGAGTCCAGCGCGCTCACCTGCATCGCCACCGGCGCGCGGCGCAGGCGCACGATGTACACGTCCCCGCGCGTGATGCTGGGCTGGCGGTTAGCGGCGCCTGGAGGGGGAATGAGCGGAAAAGGGAGGCGCACAGGGCGGAACGCGAAAGGGGAATGAACGGAGAGCGGAATGTTGGGGCAGCGCAGGGGGGATGAGCGGAAGCTTGCAGCGCCTTGACGGTTAGAGCCTCCTGGAAAAGCGGGGGGGGGGTGGGGGGGGGGAAGGGGGGAAATGCGGAGAGAACGACGAGCGGAGAGTGGAGAGAGGGAGGGGTGGCGAGTGATATAAGGGATGAGGGCCATGACAAGCCACTCGACGCTGGAAATGGACGGACGCTCGCGGTGGCCCTTTTCCCTCTTAATCATTTGATGACAGCTACTCGATGGGGAGCAGCGAGTATACTCTGAATCAAACCGGCGGTTTCGGCATAGCCAGTAGAGGGCTGGCGGAGACGAGACGAGAGCAGATTGCAACGTGGAAGGGCATCTAGGGTGCGAGCCATGCCCTGGCGCGGGGAAGATGCGGGAGGGCATCTAGGGTGCCGAGGAGGAGGGGGATCATGCGCACCCTGCTGCTGCTGCTGCTGCTGCACTACCAGCTGTGCAGTAACCTTATCAGCCGGAGAAACAGGTTACTAGCCCTCTTGTGGGGTTGCCGTTACTAGCGGCCCTTATCAACGGCCCTAACGAACGGTGTGAAAGCTAGTCGATAGAGCGCCAGGTAGCAGCAAGCCATGTAAAGCGGCTCACGAAACAGCAGGCCACGGAACAGCAGGTTACCTCCTGCGAGCCAGTTGGCGGCGGATGTGCGGACAACGAGGAGCGGAAGCAGCAGCGCGAGCACGGCTACCCATTTCCCCAGGGCCAAGATCCGCGCCCGCGCTTGCAGCCCGGCGATGGCCATGATGCCGGCAGTGCTGAAATCCCTTTGCGAGCTAGTGAGCGACTGGCGTGTAGATCAATGCGGTGAACCTGTTGGGTCTAAACGTTTAGTAAAGTGCGCTGTTTTAGCGTGGGCGAAATGGGTGGAGGAGGCGCGACGGAGATGCACTAAGCGAGGAGTCTACGCGTAGCCTGCAGGTCGGACTAAACGGTCTATGGCTGTCGATAAGACGGTTGAAAGCAGCAGCTAAGCGGGCAGCGAAAGGGGAAGGAGCAGATGTGCAGCATGCCGCTGGGAGAGGGAATGTGAGGGAATTGGTTCTCAACTCAATGCCCTGCTTGACTGGACAGCTGTAGTTGGCTGGAGACTGGTAGGAGCAGAGGTGCTGTTGGGGTCGTGTGAGATTCTGCAAATGCCGCGCAGAACCGGGTAGGGCGAGGCAGGGAGAGGAGAGGTAAGCTGCCTGCTAGGAAGGTGACCAGTGGATGCCATGCCTACTGCTGCTGCCGAAAACCAACCAGATTGGAGTGGGGTGTGGGGGAGGGGGGAGAAGCGGCGGAACACCGAAGGGGCGGCGGTCAGCATGTTTTGGATGACAGGCGTTTGGGCAGCCCGGACTGGCCTGCCCCAGCCCAGCCCCCTGCCCTGCAAGCCCCCCATTTGACCGACTGCCCTGGACTGTGGTTCAGGAATCTGGAAACCCTGCCTTTTTTTTAACACTGAACCAAGGCCCGTTCCGTTCTTATGGCAGGCTTCGTGGCAGGCCATGTTGCCCCAAGGAAACTGTTGCCCCCTTTGTGGCAGGCTAGCGGAAGCGACGGGCAACGAGAACGGCACGGAAAAACGTCACATATACTGGAGAGAGGCTTAGGAGTGTAAGTTGTAACCAGTTCGGTCTTGCCCGACGAAACAACGTTTTGCTCGTGCAACAACGTCGCACGACCAACTGCGAGCCCTGTTTGCGGGAACGTCATGTTTGCGACAGTCGCAATTTTCCGAATACAGCCAGTGCGACACCTTTTGGATATCGGACGGCCCTGGTCAAGCTACCTCTTCGCATTCGTGTATAAACAGAGTCATATCGCTGCCCCAATGTCAGCGATCGCTTACACAAACATTAGACGCCTAAACTTGCCACAAAGCCTGCCTTAACAGGGAAACACGCCTCAGATCAACCGACGGAGGACAACGTGGTTTCGTCTGCTGGTTGGCAAGCAGCTGTCTCGAGTCGACGCCAAATCCGTAGGTTCAGTTTCGAGTTTCCATTCTACAGTAATGTGGGTGATTTTCTTGTCGGTGGTCGCTAGTGTACTGTACCCTAACTTCATGGTGTTTGTATTGTATTGTACCCTAAAACTGTACTGTATTTCGGAAAATGTTTCGGTTGCGATGAAGGTGTTTGTAATCAAGTGCTGGTCGCGAATCTTATTATTCTATCGTGAACCACTTTCGTGGTGCAGGCTCAAGCCTGGTGGGCTCGTAGCTCAACTTCGCAAAAGGAGCTCGCGAACTGAGCCGCAGCTAAATTGATCCAAATGTAGTTCCCGGCAACAATGTCCTGTGAAGTAGATACGCAGCGCGCGCCTTGGCTTTAGTACACGTCACTGCCCTGTCATTCTCAATGTGGAATGTTTCCCGAAACTTGATGGCACTTGAGAAAAGTGGGCTTGAGGGGCTCCACAACAAAAAGTTGGCCAGTAGTATGTAGTTCCTAATCGTACATTTGCGACGCAGTCGCTAGGGACTGCGCACAAACGAATAATCGGCCCACCAAAAACACCCAACCGAAAGGTAGCCCACCCAAAGAGAAGAGGAGTAACCCACCGACAGACAGCCCACTATCATCAAATGTATGGAGTCCCCTAGACGTGGGTTACTCCGGACGGCCATTAGAGATTGTCCGCAGACGGAGAACCCTGGTCGCGCGGGAGTAGGGGTGTACGTAACACAGTACTCTCGTGGAATACTTTAGACTCTTATTCGGTGACGCGCGAGTAGGGCATAATAATGGGACAAGAAAGCCTTCCATTGGCCAATACAAAATGCAGCCCCTAATCATACATTCATGACGCAGTCTGACTATATGACCGCGCACAAAACAACCCTCCGCCCACAGATAGTAGTCAGCCCACCAGAATAAAAGAGCAGCCCACTGGCAAGTCAACCAATGACGATTGATTGTATGCTACCAGACGGCCACATGGCAGTCCTCTATGGGTCCGCAACGGGGCTGAGCTGCTTGGCGTGGCGGTAGGTGGTGTGGGAGCAGTCCACAGCGAGGACAGAGCTGGCCTCGTACGACCGCGCGTTGCCGTCCAGGAAGCCCTCGCCCTCCGCGCCGTCGGCGGAGATGGGGCGGTGCAGCGACGCGATCATTTTCTGAAAGTCGACAGCCCTCTGCGCGTGGTCGTCGCGGTACGTCTGCCCGAGCACGCCGTGGATCTCGTCCGTGTGCGACAGCTCCACGATGCCCACGTTGATGTGCGCCTCGGCGTCCGTCGGCGTCTGCAGCTTCGGGTTCGCCACGCGCAGCCGCATGTCGAGCGTCACGAGCCCCTCGATGTCCAGCGTGTAGTAGTCCACGTCGTACGGCCCCTCCTTCTCCAGCGCCTTGAACGTCAGCGTCAGCCCGCCCGCCGACGTCACCACGTCGCCCACCTTCATGCGCGGAACCGCCTCGCCGTCGATCTCGATCGTCTTCATGAATCCCGCGCCGCGCTCCTGCTGCTTGCCGTCGCGCGCGCCCAGCCGGATCTTGTGGTCGACGCCGTCGGCCAGCCACACGAGCCCGAGCTCCTTGATCCACGTGTGCACGGCCTTCCCGTCCACCACCAGCGCCGCGTTCTCCGTGTCGTCGCTGTAGTACCCGCGCAGCAGCATGTTCACGTGCAGCTCGCGGTCCGTCAGCAGGCAGAACGTGGCGTCGGGACGGCCGTTGAAGTCGAAGTGCGTGCCGTAGGCGCCCACCAAGTGCGGGTCGTTGGCGATCTCGGAGCGGGAGTTGCACTCGCCGCCCGTGCGAACCTGCAGATGCACGGGCTTCGTCTCCGTCGCGAATTGCGCCACCAGGTCGCCGCACGTGTAGTCGATGTCGTCCTTCACCAGGTAGCACGCGCCGTCGGTCTTCTTGCCGTCGATCGTGATGTCGGGAATGAACTGCCAGTACGTGCACCCCTTGGCGGCGGCGCACATGTTGCAGCAGGTTTGAGGAGACGCCTTCTTGACCGTCAGCGGGTTGCCCTTCACGTACACCTCCACACCGATCTTGTTCTTGAGCAGATTCGCCGTCTTGAACTTGGCGGGAATGCCGCCCTTGCTGCAGTTCGCGGGGGTGCATGCACCGGCGTGCGGCTTCAGCTCCCCGTGGCACTTCATGGCGTTCCATCCGGCCTTCTTCGCGTCCGCGAACAGCATCGAGTCGGTCGCCGTGGAGACTACCGTCACACCCGACGCGTCACCCTGCGTGGCCTGCTTGATAATGGCGGGGCTAACATCCGACACGGCCCCGGTGGTGTCGTCCTTCTGCTCCTTCGCCACGTCCACCGGCTTGTTGTCCGCCGCCTTGAATGGGTCCGCCGCGCTCGTTGCCAGCACCAGCGCGGCCAAACAAAGGACCAGTACTGCGTTCTTCGCCATGGTTGCGCCGGGAAGAAGTTGTAAAGCGCGCTAAGAAGGACTAGCGGAAGGAGTAAAACGAACTAGGATTAATGACTTGTTAGCATTCGTGGCTTCATTTATGGTCGCAGAAGGTTGCGTGAAGCCAGCAGCGAGTAGGAAGAAGCTGGGGCTCGAGGTGGAGTAGAGTGCAGGCCTGCCGAAGCGCATGCCATAAGAAACTTGAAAGGGCGGATTCCGTGCCCCAGGCATGCATTTGCGCCAGGCGAAACCTGGTCAATTGACGGATTCGCGTCGCATGCATGCCAACAAAGTCATACTGATGAATATCAGCTCAGGTTGGAACTTGACCGTACAGGTACTGTATGGTGTGGAGGACTCCCGCTTCAAATGATGACTGAAGTAACCCTGAACTTGGAGACATTGTATATTTCTACACTGTCGCAAGCATTTCAGATGGATGTGACTGGAATGTGAGTGGAATGTGAGTGGAATGTGACGAACTTTGTCCAGAAGAAATCCCGAAATGCTGCGAGGTTTGAGCCTGCATTCAAGCGGGCAGATATGAAAGTATAGACCAAACCAACCAAACCACCATCCCGCAACGACACGAAAACACACAACCTGAACCAGCACAACCCTGCCAGGGTGAGAGGGTGAGTTGCCAGGCGTGAGATGCGCAGAATGCCTTCCAATAATAAAATGCTTGTGGAAACACTCCGCCTCGGCAACCCAGGTCCACACCACACATACGATCCCTAAAAATGACCTGGAGTTGCCCGATTTTGTTTATCCCGTTTACAGCATATACACTCGATCAATAACACATCCAAGCTGTAGATTGTATCAAATTATGACTTATACTCAACCAACCATCTAATCAGCCGTTGCTTGAAGTTTTATGAATCAGATCTCTCAAAAACATTCTAAGGTTATGAGATCAAATATCGAGAAGAGATGTTCGTGATATCATAAAGGGTGTTATTGCATAATAGTCTAGATTGATTTCTCTTCAATTTTGCAATGAAACAGGGTATATCCATTTTAACTCTTCAATTAAAGCTCTTCTTACCGTGTTTGTCCTCTTGACTTCTTCAGATATCCTCTTGATTCGTCTGCAATCATTCTCACAAATATTATTTAACATTCTCTCTCCTGTAGCCTATAATAAACTATGTATGGCACTCTGTAGATGTAAGGAAATTGTACTTCCTTATCACGGGGTTTAGTCAGTAAGGCGTACACTGCTATAACGGGGTTGCCGTGCAGCTGTGCCACGAAATTCAAATTGCAGTCCCAAATGTGGTCTCCTGACGAGCCGCATGCATTATTGCCCACCTTGTTTTTGCATGCCTAGATTTGGGCGCTCCGCATCATTTTACGAACCACATGTCGCAGCTCTGTCGAGCCATGACCATGTCCTCCTAGGCTAGCTATATCCATGCTTCCTGCTGTTTTGATGTTGCCTCATTGTATAATTTCCTGACTAATCAATCATTCTACACACGCTCTTTGCGCTTCATTACACCTGGCCATCAGAGCCAACGATCCTTAGCCTTACGCTATAGTTCCACTGCAATACTGATACTTAGGGAGGCTGACGCCCTGGGCTTACTGCATATCAGTGTCAAACATGTGTATTTGTCATGTTTGTATAGACTGTATAGGGTTACCTCTTAGAGGGTACAACACTTAGGTATATTTGTGTGTACTCTCACTTTAACATTATTCAATTCTATTTCTGATATGGTATCACGCGTAGGTAGGATCCCCCCCACCTACCGCTTCCACTCATCCCCCCTAGCCCCGTCGCGCCCCTCGCTGGGCCCTGTCGCGCCCCTCCCAGGCCCCGTCGCGCTCCTCCCAGGCCCCCTAGTGCCCCTCCTGGGCCCCGTCGCGCTCCTCCCAGGCCCCCTAGCGCCCCTCCTGGGCCCCGTCGCGCTCCTCACAGGCCCCGTCGCGCCCCGTCGCGCTCCTCCCAGGCCCCCTAGCGCCCCTCCTGGGCCCCGTCGCGCTCCTCCCAGGCCCCGTAGCGCCCCTCCTGGGCCCCGTCGCGCCCCTCCCAGGCCCCGTCGCGCCCCTCCTGGGCTCCGTAGCGCCCCTACTGGGCCCCGTCGCGCCCCTCCTAGGCCCCGTAGCGCCCCTCCTAGGCCCCGTCGCGCCCTCCCTGGGCCCTGTAGCGCCCCTCCTGGGCCCCGTCCTGCCCCTCCCAGGCCCCGTCGCGCCCCTCCTAGGCCCCGTAGCGCCCCTCCTGGACCTCGTCACGCCCCTCCTGGGCTTCGTAGCGCCCCTCCTGGGCCCCGTTGCGCCCCTCCTGGGCCCCTGTAGCGCCTCTCCTGGGCCCCCGTCGTGCCCCTCCTGGGCCCCGTAGCGCCCCTCCTGGGCCGCGTCGTACCCGCCCGGCGCTGTCGCAGCCGCCCGGCCCCGTCGCGCCCGCCCGGCGCCGTCGCACCCGCCCGGCCCCGTCGCGCCCGCACGGCCCCGTCGCAGCCGCCTGGCCCCGTCGCACCCTGCCGGGCCCCGTCGCAGCCGCCTGGCCCCGTCGCACCCGCCCGGCCGCCGTCGCCCGGCCGCACCCGTCCCGCTCGCCCGGCCCCGTCGCACCGGCCCGGCCCTGCCGCACTCGCCCGGCCCCGTCGCCCCAGCCCGGCCCCATCGCGCCCGCTCGGCCCCATCGCCCTGTCCCGGCCCTGTCGCACCAGCCCGGCCCCGTCGCGCCCGCCCGGACCCGTCGGGCCAGCCCCGGCCCCGTCCTCCTCACTGGTACGGTTCCCCCCCCCCCCACACCGCACTGCACGGCACTGTACCGCACTGCACCGAACTGTACCGCACTGCACCGCACTGCACCGCACTGTACCACACTGTACCGCACTGCACCGCACTACACCGCACTGCACCGTACTGCACCGCACTGCACCGCACCCCACCTCGCTGCACTGCCCTGCACCGAACTGGACTGTTCCTGATGGCGGCGGAGCTTCGCTTCGACGCTGAAGGTCAGCCCCTAGAGTTCGAGGCGTGGCTTGCCGACCTCCGCCGCCAACTCACTGGCCAGCGGCAGGATGGTGAACCGCTTTCCGCACACCTTGACGGTACGCTCCCCTGCCCAGACCCCCCTGCTATTCTGCCCGCAGACCCCACACCCACTGAGCGTGAGTCTACTGCTGCCACTGCCCGTGCGCGCTCTGTCAGGCTTTCTCGCGATGCTGTTGCCCAGCTTGCCATTAGCAACACCCTCCCCCCATCCGAGCGTCCTCGCTTTAGGTCCCTCACTACTGCTCAGGCCTACTTAGATGCTGTGATCAAGCGCTATTCCACCCCTCCGGCTGCCTCGGTGGGTCGCCTGATCCTTCCGATGCTCTTTCCTGACCTTGCATCTTTCCCCACTGTCTCTGACCTCGCTGCCCACCTGCGCTCGATAGATGAGACCTGGCGCGCTGCCTGCACTGACGCCCAGCTTAGAGCCCACCAGCCGCCCATTACCTCTACCCTCTACCTGCTTGCCACCCGCCTCCCTGACCGCCTTGCTGTCGCCCGCGACCGCTTTCTTAGCGTTCACCCCGCAGACCTCACCCTCACTGACTTTGTAGACACCCTGACTGTGATAGAGACCCGTCACCGCTCCATCGCCCAGGTGAGCGGTGTCGTGCCGGTCCCTATCTTTCAGGGTTGTGCTCCCGCTCAGTGCACCTTCTCCGACGGCTCTGCCGCAGTGGCTGAGACTGCTGCTACAGCGCAGGTCCGTTCGGGGAAGGGCCGCCGCCCCAAGGCTGGGCGCGGCGGAGGAGGCGGCGGGGGTGCGGGCGGGGGTAGTGGTGGGGTCGGGTCGCCTGGTGCTGGAGCGGACGAGGGGACCCTGCCCAGTCCAGCTGAGTCGCCGTCCCTGCAGTTGCAGCAGCCGCAGCAGCCGCCCCAGTCGCAGCCTTCGCAGCAGCCGCAGCAGCCGTCGCAGACGCGGCAGACGAGTGTCCTCCCGCCCGGGTGGCCCGGCGCTGGCGGTGGCCGGGCGCGTGGTGGTGTGCCGAGTGGTGGCTCTGGTGGCGGGCGTTGTCAGTACCAGATCCAGACCGGTCCTCGCCGCGGTTTCGTTTGCGGTAGGCTCGGTCACTCCACTCCCCGCTGTTTTCGTCGCCTGGACGACCTCTTTCGTCAGCGCTTCGGCCCGTCGCCAGACCTCCCGGACTGGCAGAGTTTGCTTAGTCGTAAGATTCAGATTTTTGATATGGACATGGATGCCATTGTTGCTGCTCTGCATGTGATGTATGCTGATGACTCTAGTGTGCTTCCCGCTTATTACTCACTGTTGCATAGTGTAGGTGTGCCTAGCTTAGCCTCCCCTGCTGCGTCAGGCGTAGGATCCCCTGCTTTGTGTAGTCTTGGTGCTTCCGCCGTCGTTCCGTTGCCAGACGCCTCTGCTTCGCTTTCCTTCACCTTGGACTCTGGCGCTTCTCGGTGTTTCTTCCGCGACTCTACCACCCTGACGCCGCTTCCTGTCCCAGCTGCCGTCTCTCTTGCTGACCCCTCTGGCGGTCCGGTCGTCGCCCGCAGTTCCACCACCCTTCCCTGTCCGGCGGTTCCCTCGGGCTCTCTTACAGGTCTTCATATCCCCTCGTTCTCCAGGAACCTAGTTGGTGTCGGCTGCCTCCAGGACCTTGGCGTCACCACTACGTTCCCTGGTCACGAGCGGTATGCTGTCTGTACCGAGGCCGCCACGGGTGCCCCCCTGTCCACGTTCCCCGGGGACCCGGTGTCCGGCCTGTTCACTCTGGACACCGTGACCCCCCCGGCTGGGGCCCCCCCTCAGGTGGCTGTGTCTATTCAGGTTGCTGCTGCCTGCTCCTGTCGGTCCCTCACTCACCCGACCCTCCTGTGGCACCACCGCCTAGGTCACCCTGCGCTCCCGCGTCTGCGTCACATGTCCCAGCACGGTCTCGTCCTTGGTCTCCCAGCTTCGCTCCCCGCGTTTCCCTCCTCTCCAGCCCCACCTTGCACGCCTTCTGTCGAGGGTCGGCTTCGCCGTGCCCCTTACTCCTCCTCGTTTCCCCCTACCGCCGCGCCGCTGCAGACCCTGCACCTAGACGTCTGGGGCCCCGCCCCCGTCCCTGGGCCGCGTCGAGAGCGCTACTTCCTTGTGCTTGTCGACGACTTCACCCGTTACACCACAGTCTTTCCCCTGGAGCGCAAGGCCGACGTGCCTGGCGCTCTCATTCCCTGGCTTGTCTCTGCGCGTGTCCACCGCGGTCTCCCTGTCTTGCGTCTTCACTCAGACCGTGGTGGCGAGTTTGCCTCAGGTGTCCTTGGTCGCTTTTGCCGTGCGGAGGGCATCACCCAGACGTTCACCCTACCGGACTCCCCACAGCAGAATGGGGTCTCTGAGCGCCGCATCGGTTTGGTCATGGAGGTCGCTCGCACCTCTATGATCCATGCCGGTGCACCCCATTTTCTGTGCGGCTAGGAGCGGGCAGGCTAGCGACGGGCGGCTATGAACGGGCGGCTAGAAACGGGCGGCTAGGACTAGGACTAGGGCGGAAGCGCGGGTGGGCGGGGGGGACCTAACCCAGCGCGTGATATCATCTCATAGTAATGAATTGAGTAGAATGAGAGGTACAAGGCAGGTTTGTCCAAGGGGTTGGGCTCTCTATAGGACTGAACCTATCTAACCTATAGAGAGTTTGACAGCATGAGCTTAGAGAGAACAACTCACTAGCACAAAGTCACCTTGTACCCTCCATTCTAGTCAATGCGTTATTCTGAGACAGTCTACCTACCCTACTCCAGCTTCGCCTTACAGCTGTCTACCTAGTCCTTGACGTAAATTTTGCCACACCTAAGCAAGAGCTCCAACGACACATGCCACCTGCAACAACTGGACTGGACTGCATATCTCCATGGGCAAACACTTCACTCCTCCAGCATCACCCATGTTGTTCCACCACATATCCTAAACAATCCTCGTCTTCTCTTCCTCCCTCCTGCTGCCTTCCGCACTCCAAATTCCTGCGTGCCATGCTGCGCCTGGTAAGTTACTGGACTGTGAATTCGTATCCTTCGTACCTCGCCATCTGTGCTGTTGAAGGACCCTGCTGCTGCTGCTTCTGCTCTCCCTGCAATGCTAGATCTCTCCATGCACCCCTCATCTGCCGTGCTACTGCTTCCCCTGCTGAATATCGCCACTGCTGCTGCTGCACTCCTACTTTTCCTCCTGCTGCCACTCTGCTCATTGCGATGGCATCAGCTCCCTCCTTTCATACCCCTCATCATCGGTGGACAGCTCGAAGCGACACATGGGACACGTGTTGCGCACACCAAGCCACTGCCTGATGCACGCGTCATGGTACAGATGCCTGCATGGCAGCCTCACCACCTCCTCTCCCACTTCCGCCACGTCACTACACACAACACAGCATGCAGCGCCACTCTCTACGTCCTCCAACTGCACGAGGACACGTGGCAGGGCGGCAACGGCAGCCTGACACGCCGGAGGGTTGCCCCGTTGGCGTGGTATCACCGAGTCAGTAGCGAAGTTGTCGATCCAACGGTCCACCATGGCTCGGAATTCATCGAGATCCACCATGTCGTCAGTTACTCGCGCTGCATTGTCAGGCACTCCAGAACGCATGCCTCTGCTTCCTGCCCTCCCTTCTCTCCCTTCCAAATCAACCATTTCTCTGAACCCAAAACGCGTCAACTCCATCTGTCTCGAGCCACGTCCTTCGAGCACGGCACCACCATAAATACCGGACCTTCCTAAGCCTTCTGAGACCAGAGCCCTTCCCTCCCTTTCCTCATCGTGGTTCCTATCCGGACTGCTCAAACCCAATTGTTCCTCGTCCTCCACGTCTGAGTTGCTTATAGCTTCAAGCCTGGACAACAACTCTCGCACTGATTCTCGGAACCATCTTAAACGGCTTCTCCTGTTGGCGCTGTTGAAAAAATCCAATTGGGCCTCGTTCTCATTCTCGCCAGAATCACTGTCGCTAGCATCATCACCATCTTCGCTTGCCTCCTCTGGGTAGTGCATGAACCCCAGTCCAGTCACATTGTACCCTGACGTACTTCGAGGGAAGTTAGCATCTGGCACGTCGCCTTCTTCCTCGCCTGCAATTCCATGCATCCCTTCAGCCATAACCGCTGCTGCAGTCGTGGCTTCGTTAAAAGCACAATCACCGCCACCAGCTTGATTCGCCTCATCTGCATCGCTGTGAAACTCTGGCATTTCCTCCTCATTGCCCTCTTCCGGTGTCTGAATCGTAGCCCTCGTGTCAGTCACACCAGCCAGCTTTGGGTCTCCAAAGGTAGTTCTCGTCTCATTGGGACGACTCATGCCAGAGGCAGAAACACTCATTGCTGGTCCTCCCCCCGGTAGTGGCGACACTGCTGCTGCTGCTGATACTGCGTCATCTGGTGCATCAACCCGTTCCATGCCAACATCTCCGATTTCAGCTCGTCTGGTACCACTCCCGCCTCCACTGAAACGCCTCAGAGATATTCCTGCAGCTCCCAAGGCCGTCTCGATTCCCAAAGACGAAAGCGACGGCTCTGAGCTTCGATAATTCGCGCCTCGAGATGCATCATTGTCAGCAGCAACGACACGACTCCGAGTCAATCTTTGGTGATTCCGCCTCAGAAGTGCTGCAGCCTCGAATTCCGCAGCTTCCCTGGGACCATTCTCTTCAGAACCAGCTCGTCTGGAACTGCTCCCCCTTCCACTGAAACGCCGCAGAGCTCTATCAGAATCTCCCAATGGCTCATCGATTTCCATGAACGAAATGTTGGAGCCGCGAGGGTTCGCCCCTTGAGACGCGTCGCTATCAACAGCAAGGATACGTCTCCGAGTCCGATTCAATGTCAAGAAACTTTGACGCTGAAGTGTTACCGCATCTTCAAGTTCAGCAGCAGCTCGGGTGCGCTCGCCGCCGCTAGTGAGATTACGGATTACGCGATTGAATCTCGACGTTCCGCCCTGCAGTAACGCCTGATCTGAAGTACCAGCACCTCCAGGTTCCGTCGTGGGAAAACTAGAAGAGCGTCGTGAACCCTGGTGGAAAGCGATGGAAGCTGTGTGAGAAGCGTTAGCAGTGTCGACATCCTCGAAAAAACCGTCGTGGCAGATCGGACAGAGATGAACGTCGGGTGTAGTAGGTCAAGCTCGAGTTGGAATGCAGACGGTCTGACGGCACTGGTAGCACCAGAAACTGGAATGTCGCTGCTCCATATCCATGGCTGATGCCGCAGATGTAATGGACTGCATGATGTGCCGTAGGAGATCGACGCGGTTTGATGTTCTTATATTCCATCCATTCTGAATAATGAATAATCTGCTTCGCACAAGCTCGGATTAGGAATAGACGACTGGCAATGTTGACTACGCATGATAAAAAAACCATGACGTAAGCTGAAGGACCAACGGAGGAGCCGAGAGTCAGTGCTGAGGATAGCTCGAATCAGAAGCCCAAGCAGAGCACGACCTAACAACAGCCTCAGTGCTTGCCGGAAAGCCGAGCAGACTGCACTGAGTGCAGCAGCAACCAGTTAATCCTGAAAACGAACGATGTGTCGACACCCGAATGCATATACTAATAGAAAACAAAGTAAAAGTCACTAAAGTACCTCTGACGCTGAACAAGCCAAGTTGACGTACAAGCCAGCGACATGATGAATACATCAGGTTAGTTGGAAAGCCATTCACGATGAGTGGGTGGAGTGTGCTGTGCGTGCTGTGCTCTCTCAGGGATTCCTGGTGCTGGGGGTTGCGAAATGGCACCTGTCTCTGGACCAACGGATCAAAGGTGCTGCTGCTGGCGTCAGTGAGACGCGAGCCAGTAAAATGGCATGCAGATCAAAGGCTGCAGCAATAAGTCAACATTCGCCGCAAAGCTCTGCACCACGCTGGAACTGAAATTCACAGGTACTAGTTCCCTGTACAGTTCCAACAATATAATAATGAATGCTCCTGATGTAACATTTCTTAACATACAATGGAATGTACATTTTTTGGAACAAAAAGTTCCAGCTTACAAAAGGTTACTAGAAGAGTACTTAATTCTAGAACGAGTCGTCAATCGCATCAGCTTCACCTTGCCAAACGGACTCCTTGAGTAGGAAAAGCAATGCACGAGCATTCTTGATCAACTCCCTCTCTTCGACCCCTTTTTTCATGACCTCGCCAGCCGGTCCTTCTCCCAAGCTAAGGGAGATCCTCGCTAGTGGAGGCAATGCACCCTCGCCAACCAAGGCGACGGCAGACAAAAATCCCCCGACTACGAGTTCTCTCATCATCTTCACTGCTGCTCCTCTCGCCCGCACACACGGTCCCTCAACCACCTCCACCAATGCTGCTGCTATCCCTGCCACGTCAGCAATGGCTTGTTGCCCATGTGGCTGACGAGAAAGACACGTCAGCAGGCTCATCACATGTGCATCCATACCTTGCACTCTGCTACCAAGCATCCCTGTGGTTGCCCATGCCACATCATGCAGTATCGCATCATTGGCATGTGATGATGGTGCATCTCCCAGCACGTGCATCAAGATGCGAGCAATATTCGCTGCCATTTCACCAGCTGGAACCGCTTCAGCGCCCCCATCGCCCATCGTCTCATAGCTATAGTGCACTTCACGACTCTGCTGCTTCCTGTGTGTGTCACTGTAACTGCGTGCCAGTGACAGCAGGGCGGGCACGGCACCACACTTCCACGCTGCATACAGTCCGCCGCGGTGTTCTGTGACAAGCAGCAGCAGCGCATTGACAGCAGCCGCCCTCACTTCCATGGACTTGGAGGCATCCACAAGTACCTCCACCAGCTGCTCCCCAGCACACACCACACCACCACCATCACCATCACCCACAGGTGCTTCCGCCCCACACCCTGCCTCCGAGTGACATTCCTCTCCCGGCTTCGCCTGTTTTCCTCCCTCAAGCTGCCGCCCGCAGCCATCGCCACCGCTGTTTCCACCAGCAACGCCCTCCAAGCCACCAGCAGCAGCAGCAGCATCAACAGCACTTCTCTCAGTTCCCTTCCGCCCCATAACTTCTCCAGCGCTCTTCCTGGCAGCAGCCCCTCCCCCCAGCAGTCCGGTGAGCGGCTTCACACACGAGGTGCTGCGGGCGGGCAGGCTGCAGCGCTGGTGCAGGAGAGAAGCGGGGGTGGGGGACAGCAGCAGGGCGTTGGACGACCGGGACGACCGCAGCATCCTCTCCTGGCTTAAACCAAGCCCAGCCTTGGGCCTCTCCACTGACGCCTCCTCGCCCCCACTCCCTGTTTGCACTGCCTGCGCGCCCTGCTGCTCCACACCACCGCCTGTGCCTGTGCCCGCGCCCTCGACCACCCTGCTCTCCTGTATCCTGCCCCTCTCCATCCAGTTCCCCCCCTCGACAGGTTGTTCAGCCCGTGCTCGGCCTGCGTTGCTCGCCTGGCTGATGCTGCGCGGGCTGGGAGCCCCTGGCCTGAGCGGCCTGGCACCAGGAGACATGGTCGAAAGGAGGACTTGTGAGGGGGAGCGACGGTGCTGCTGCTGCGAGCTAGAATGCTGGTTGATGCGGGAGGTATTATGCCCGTGCTGGTGCTGGTGCTGCTGGTGCTGGACATTGTCTGAGGATGTGGATGGGGGAAGGCAGGTGGGGCGCAGGTAGGGGGCGTTAGGGGGCATGGCACGCAGGGCGGATAGCGGGGCGGACATACTGCGGCTGAGCATGGGAGGGACGCCGTTGGATGGCGCCACCTTCGTGCTGGCTGATTTGTATCTCACCGCCTCGTTTGCCGATGCTGCTGCCGCTGATGTTCCCCTGCCGAAGCTCATCACCCCACCAATCCCAGCTGCACCACCTGCACTCCGTCCCCCCGCTTCTCCCCCCGAGAGCACTGCCTTTCTGCCCTGCATCGTCTCGTTATCCACTCCAACCGTTTCCTGCCGTGCCGTCCACCCCCTTGCGCTCTGAAGACTGCCAGCAGCAGCAGCGCCAAGGCCGACCTTTCCCAGCACCAGCGGCCGCACGCTCCCCCTGCCTCTGCCACCAAAGCCGCCTTCACCCAGCCTTCGATCAGTTGGGGAGACAGACGTGGATAGTGAGTGAGAGAAGGAAAGGGAGGGAGAGGGCGGGTCCCTAGACAGAGGAGGACGAAGGCCCATGGGGGTGCTGATGCTGGTAGACCGAGTGTGTAAGGAGAGTGGGCGAGGGGTAGAGGACGGGAGGGAGGGGCAGGTGAGTGGAGGGGGGAGGAAAGCCGGCAGGGCAAACGGTGGCGGTGGCTGCTGCTGAAGGGGATTGTTTGACGGCGTGGCCTTCTGCAACAGCTGCTGCTGGGGTTGCTTCTGTACGCTCGTCTGCCCGTTTGTCTGCTTCTTTGCTGTGGGCTGCCTCAGAATCTGCCCACTAGATTGCTGCTTGTCGCTCTCGCTGCCTCTTCCGCTCCCTCGCTCTGCTTCGGCCGCTGAATCACCGCGTGCTGCCTCGGCTGCTGACCCTCCCGCGGCAACACCAGCACCTGCAGCGGCTTCCGAGCCAGGGACGCTCCAAACGCCAGGGGAGGGCACTCCGACTTGCAGGGACAGCTGCACGCGGGGCTTGCACCCGCCACTGCCCATGCCGCGCCCACGCCCCACGCCTGGACCACCAGCACGGGCACGAGCAGCAGAGGCTGCTGCGCGAGCACCAGGGGCAGCTGTGATTCCCGCTCTGGCACGGACGCCAGCAGCAGCAGCAGCAGCACCTTGCGTGACAGTGACAGCACCCGGGCCAGACACTGTGATAGAGGCTGTTGTGTTGTGATGGGCATTGGACGCCCTGCCCGCTGACTGCCCCACAAGCTGGCTTACCAGCAGCAGCGGGCCTTTGGCTTTGCCTGCTGTGCGTTGAGGCGTTCCTTTGACAGCAGCGCCTTTGCTGACCGGGCGCGCATATGCACTCGCCTTGTGTGCTGCCACCCCGCCTCGTGCACCTCCAGTCTGCGCTCCATCGCTTGATTTGCATGCTTCTGCTTGGGAGCTGGGCTGATTAGTATTCTTCGCCTGCTGCTGCTGCTGCTGCTGCTGCTGCTGCTGCATCGAATTATGTGTGCTTGCCTGCCTCGTTTGTGCGCCAGCTGCATGCCGCTGGGGCGACAGGAGCAGTCCCTCCTCCTGCTGCTGCAGCTGCTGCTGCTGCTCCCGTTTCCATTCTGTAAGTATAGGCTGGCCTTGTGGGGATGTGACACCGCCCATGGGAGAAAGGTCTTCACTCCCGTTGCTCCCTCCGCCACCGCCGCAGTTGCTGCTGCTGGCAGGTGACGCCTGCACCGGAGCCGGAGACCCGCTGACGTTCTGTGGTTTGCTGCTCGCCGGCAGTTTTGACGGCTGGCGGACGGCTGACGACTGTCCGGCAGCTTGTACCGTTGGTTTATCAGCTGATGATGAAGCTGAAGGGATGGTGTATTGGGCGTTGAGATTGCGCCCAGCGGGGACTCGATAACTGATCAGCTGGTTCCCGTTGTGATTCAATGAAGGCTCGCGGTTCCTGGGGCTGGCGGACACGGGAGGGGGAAACTTGGGGCCCGCGGAAGTTGCGGGGCAAGGGTGGGGGGAGGAAGCGAAGGCGGGGGAGGAGGAGGTTGAGCGGGGGAAAGCGGCGGCGGAAGAGGGAGAGGCGTGCGACGAGGAGGAGAGGGGCGGGGGGGAAGTACTGGCGGAGGAGGAGGAGGGGGAGGAGGAGGAGGGGGAGAAAAGGCAACCCGCCCTTGAAGGGAACGGGGAAGGGAACGGGGAAGGGGCAGGGGAAGGGGGAAGCGGAGCGCGCGTGGCTGCTGCCACCGCGGGGCCCTTAGTAGGTGAGAAGGTGGAGGAGGGGGAGGGCGAGGGGGAAGCGGAGCCGGGAGGTGAATCCGGGAGGGAGGGAGATGGGCAGCGACGGGGCGAGGAATCTGTGAAAGACATCTGCAGAGCCGCAGGTGATTGCGAGCTAACGCCGCGCTGGCTCTGGCTGTGGCTGTAGCTGTGGCTGTGGTTGTGGCTGTGTATGCCTAGATGTCCGCCGACACTGCCACTACGCCTGAGGCTTATGCTAAAGCTGCTGCTGCCGTTGTTGCTGCTGCCGTTGTTGCTGCTGCCGATGCTGCTGCTGCCGTTGCTGCTGCTGCCGTTGTTGCTGCTGCCGCGAGCAGCGACGGAAGTACTGCTACTACTCCCGCCGTGCGCCGCCAGCCACGTGGCGATCAGCTCTCTGAGCGCCACGTTCGGCACCACGTGCGTGTGTGGCAGCGACGCGCCGGTCACGGGGCAGCACGCCGGCTCGTGCGGCCCCGCGGCGCGCAGGCGGTGCAGGATGTGCGCGCGCTCGTACGTGCAGCCCGACGCGACGATGACCGGGTCCAGCATCACCCGTCCCGACAGCGGGCAGAAGAACTCGCGTGGGGCCCTCGCGCGCGCGGACGAGGGCTCCGCGGATGGGGGCGACTGGAGCATGGTGAGCGCGGGAGTGCTAGAAGCATTTAGTAGTGGATGCGCCGCGAGTGGTGGTGGTCGGTTATTGAGGCTGTTGGGGGTGGATGGACAGTTCGGTCAGATGGGAAGGTTAGAACTTCTATTGAATCGAGCGGACGACTCGGAAGCGAAGAACGCTAAGACGACGCTCAGCGATCGCTGCATGCCGTGGTTCTCGTTCGTACTAGTACTAGCCAAATCGACGCACTGCCAGCCTTGAATAATCTGAAATGGCCATCCTTCGAGCCTCCCACCATGATTGAGTCAATCCTGATTCTGCGAAACTCAACAGCTGAGTCTGAGAGCTCATGCCAATCGGCGAAAATTAGCAGCGAAAGAGACTCGTACCAGCATTTGTCCCGAACAACTACTGCCCCTGCAAGCGTTGCATGTGTCCTTGGAAGCGAGCTCAACCATCGTCTGACCTAAGGAAGAGACACAAAAGATCCTGGCTCAACGCGCACTCGCGGGTGGTTGGAGATAGTTTCAATCAGTCCGACCGTCGCGCCTCGCCTTTCTGGGCTTTTGCAGCCAAGCGAGGGGAAGCAAGGATGCCTCGTGGGAGAGGTAGTGGTGCTGCTGCTGCCAAACTTGGTGGCTTGGAAATTGGAATGCTCCTGGGTTTGTGTCGCACGGAGATGCGCTCCGGCTAGTCGAAGCGGCTTTCTGGTCGGCATTCGCCACGTGCCTCTTTCACGACGCAAGCGACGAGCGTGCTGGGAGTAAGCAAGTAAAAGCACATCTCGCGAACGCGCCAGGGACTATGCGATCGGTGTGAACAATTCGTCAGCTCGCCTTCGCGCACCAGCAGTCGTGTGTCGTGATTCGCGAAGGTGGACGACCAGGCAGGAGCAGTGTCGTTTGGAATCATCAGCAGGGGGTACGATCCAACTGTCTGACGTGCCAAATTCCCTTCAAGCTGGGCATGCAAATCGTCGTGTGCCAGAACAAGGGGTATGCCATTAGGTCCGTGACATTTTACTCCATATAATACTCCAAGGTCCGGAATTCGATACGAACCACTACGACGTAAACCGTCTGTACGGTATACATCTACTGCTAGACTTCGCTAAAAAGGCTCAATAAAACATAGTGACCAATCACGACAGTCGCATGATGCCACCGACCATCGATTCGCGCCACCCGAATCGGGTGCGATTGCAGCATGCAAGCTTCGACAACCAACCCGCGAGTGCAAGCTCGGAAATTCCCAGTGAAATGTGCTTGGAATTGCTCGGCCAATACGTGCTTGCCAGGGCGATCCGACGTAAACACGACGGACCGGGGGGGCGAACACAAAATCACAGACAGCCCGCTGGTACCCCCGTCCACCTGGCACTTTTGCATGCGCGCTGACATGGGCATGCATTCGTACCCCATTTTCATCCATTATGTCTTATTATTACGGTCCTATTCTAATCCTCGTGTCAAGAGCATTCGAGGCGTTTCCCATATTTTAGAACCAATCACGTAAATATTCAGGCTTCCCGCGTGACACGAAAATGTCCGTCCCGGATACGAAAACACGACCCACGGTCCCTCAATCACCATTAACAACTGCACATTTCGTAAAAGATTTGCTCAAGGGGTTTTTTTTCATTTCGTTAAAACGTGTGATTGGTTAACGAAACCGCTTAATCCATTTGTCAAAATTTCGTACCGTTTAGCCATTTTCGTGCGACCACGAAAAGGGTTTTCTAAACTATTTGTTTTGCGTGTTTTGAGCCTGCGCTGCTTGTGGGAAGGTCGAGAGCGAGGTGTTACTTATTTTGTCCGCGGTAATTCTGACCAGACGACAAATTCGCTAAGCGTTTTTTAAGAAGCCACATGAGCCCTCACATGACACGCGGCGAAATCGCTGCTGCCCGTTGTGAACCGCTCCTATTCGTCCTAGTCCATATTTGCGAGTCGCGGATTTGGAGCATAGAGCATACCCGCTGTACCCACGGTGTTTCATCCATATCTTGCAATTTTGCTTCGGTTTCCAGCCACATTGTTATGATGATCTCGGGATAAGAGTCCAGTAATGCATTAGGGCGTGTCCAGCGCGTTCGTTTACTATTCACTTTGCGGATCAGGTACATAATTTTGTCCAGGTAACCTGAAATTTCGTGTCCATTCGGACACGCACGATAAATTGACGGTTTCGGCAGACACCTTCCAGACGTGCCCACAGACGTAGACCACACGTTTCCGAACCGAATGAAAATCGTGCGCAAATTATGTACACGGCAGAAACGTCCAAATCCTGGCTGGCGAAAAATAGAACGCTTACATTCGCCAGGATTTCGTAACGCTTGCGAAGCACGGCGAAAAAAAACGGAAGAAGAATTGGAGTTGCATGCGCGACTCGACTTGCCTGCATAAAAACAGATTCAAGGTATCGACTATACAAATATGATGGCCAACATGCCACTCAGGCCTCTGGATAGGATTAGAAGTACTCTTTCTTGTAAGGGTACTCGCTTGTTGCCACTTTTTCTGTAAGGGTATTTTTTAAAGCTACTTTGTAATATAAGGGTCCTAAATATTTGTACTTTTTCACATAAGGGTATAACTCCAGCGCAGCCTTACACTTTACTGTAGTTACAGGATCTCGCGTGATTAGACGACTGACGTGTTGCAGATATGTGACGACGCGCCTTGGGTGGCACTCGACAGGGTGCACCAAGATTTTTGTTTTTGTTTGTTAGCGCTAAAGTGGGGGGAATGTCGCACCTCGGTAATTTTGCTGTTAGTGCGTATTTCTACATTAGGGCATTCAGTACAAGGGAACCAAACTTCGCGAAGTACCAAATCGAACCGAACAGGAATTTGCGTTTTGACCCTCGGACCTCACTCTTTCGCGTTTCAGAGTCCATTCCGGGTTTGCTGGTACTGATTAATGTCTTGTAGAAATACGACCTCATTCCGTAGACCCTTCCTGGTCGCGACCTCATTTCACGTTGGTGCCCCACTCGTTTTTTTTTGTTTTGTTTTTGTTTTTTGTTTTTGTTTTTTTTTTGTTCTTTCATTTCTTTAACTAATGTAGTGGCGGATACGACTCTACCAACACGAATTATACATTCAAGAGGGCAGGTTTTGTAGCTATGCGCATGAATTCTTGGGTGAGTGGCAGCCATAAAAAACGTAAACCATTAGCAGAAGAAATTGACGACGTGAATCCCCGTCGTGCGCGGGCAGGGGCCAGGTAAAAACCCGTGGAAACTTAAATTCAAGCCGCCGATATTTCGTAGGCGTGACATTCCCACACCGAAGTGGGTAGGGGGGAAGAGAAGGTTTGACATATCACGTCCAGGGCTTTCAGGCTACCCTGTAATTTCAAGGTAGTTATTCCCCCCAGTCTGACTGGAACACACTTTGGAACTGGGGGACTTAGCTGAATCCTCCGGGTTGCGAGGTGTATGGGAGGATTGTCTCTCGTAGTTGGGGACTTGGCCGAATCCTCTGGGTTGCAAAGGTACTACAGCAGCTTTGTCTCTGCCAGTGGGGGACTTCACCAATTTTTCGGGGTCGCTCGAGGGCTGTGGGAGGAATGCCTTTGGCAGTGGGGGACTTAGCCGAAATCTTGGGTTGCGGGGGGTATAGGAGGAATGACTCTCGGATTGGGGGGACTTAGCCGAAATCTACAGGTTGCCAAGGGGATAAATTATTACAGCGGGGGATCGCATGTGTGATTGTGTAAGGGTGATTTTACACAACACTTTTCCGCATCAGGGTCCCTACACTCGACCACTTTGAAAAAGCAGGGTCCCGTATAGATCTAGTTTTTTTCATAAGGGTAAAAAACTAAACCACTTTTAAAAATAAGGGTCCAACAGCTACCCCACTCTTATTATAAGGGCCGTAAGGGTATTTTACCCTGATATCCTGAGGCCTACTGCCACTACGACGACAACCTAGAGCCCATAGCGGCGGAGTAGCTACGCGGTACGCGCCACACATCAAAATCATGGCCTCTAACGCCTCGTACGGCTCGCCACGCCGTGAATGAAGTCGCCCGCCAAGGGCAGCTGGCGCGCCGCAACATGGGTTGTCGACGGCACATAGCAACAACCTTGTCACTTCTTGGAAGGCGCGTTCCAAGCTAGTCAATGCTACCTATGCTATGGGCTGATGGCAACAATAACACGCCATGATTGGAATTAAAAAAGCAGAGGTCCTCCTATTCCCCCTAAAACAACCAGTACAACACCCACTACAACACCCATGGCTACTCCCATCAACGCATTTGACGGCAGCAATACCCTCCCAATCCATACCTCGATTTTTGACACCCAAGAATCTGCAACCAACACTGCTACACATGGAGCCGCCACCAACACCCCTACCGGGAACCGCAGCACTGCCGTTAGGACGCCCATGCGCCAAGACTCTTGGGCGGACGACGATGATCTCATTTTTGAGGAGTACCACAACGTTGTCCTGGCAGAGGACACCCCTCTCACGCCCGATGAGACCCTTGCAGACAACGTCTTGACTGAGGACCCTCCTGCTGTAGATGACTCCGGCAATCTTGGGGTGCCACTCACTGGAGTCACGCCATCGCCAAGCGAGGGCGGCAGCGGTGTGCGTGGCAGGGTCCACTGGAGTGCCAGCGAGATGAACCGGCTCGTCTATGCGCGCGTGGATCTGGACCCGGACTGGGATCTCATGCGTGGGGTGCAAGGAGCCAACTACTGGACATCCCTGCACCGCATGCTTGTGGAACGCCACCCGAACTTCCGCTTCATGCAGGCTGCTACGAACATCAAAATGTTGCGTATCGAAACCCAGTTCCGCCAGATTCGTGACTGTATTTCTCGCTCCCGAGCCGGAGCTATTAGGTACCTGCTGCAGTGGTGCCATCTCATGGACAGCATCCGTGGCAACCGCCCCGCAATCCAGCCTGCTATCCGTCTCACGAACGATACACACCGCACTACGACCATTGGTATGCTTTTTATCGTACTTATATTCTATCCCGGGAAGCACACCATGCTTGCACTACTCTACGTTCAAAGTGCTCTGACCTCTATGACCCCTGCTGTTATCTACCCAAGTAGGCAGCACCCGTCAAGGTGGCACCGGCGGCCCACAACACACAAGGGGCGTTAGGGTCCAGAGGAATGACATCCCTAGCATCGAAGCTACGACGCGAGCTGCCACCACTGGAGGAGCATCACCGTTGCAAACTCTACCTCTGCCCAAGCTACCACAAACTAGCACCCCTCTAGGAACTTGACTACCCCTCCGTCACCTCCTCCTCAGACCTCACTGCCCCGCCCCGGTCACACCATCCCTAGTCGCATGCCCGCCAGCCAGTCCCCCAATGCCAGCACTGGCCCATCCAGCAGCTCCACTGGCAATGCCAGCCCTGGCCCCTCCAGCAGCCCCACTGGCAATCCTAGCCCCGGCCCCTCCAGCAGCCCTTCCGCCACCACGGGCAGAGCGGGGGCGTCTCCTGCACATGGCAACGGCAGAGTCAAGATGGGAGTTAATGGTGTGGGGCCTGAGGCTGCTGATGCAACGGCAATGGCTCAGAGTATTGCTGATGCAATATCAGCTGCAGTGGATCGTGCATGTGATCGCTTTGAAAGCCTTACCCGAGCGTTGGCCGGCTCGAGGGTGGATGCGCACGTGCCCACGATGCGTGGAGAAGACGGGCGAGCTGGTCTCGACGAGCAGCTGGCTTGAAGCTCGGCGACCCTGGCGTGATGTGCACAGCGGTGGCAGCTGGCCCCTCAAGCTACCAGCGATTCCCTTCACGTGGTGGACCCGTCCGCACCATGTTGCCAAGCGAGTTCTCCACATTGTGCACAGCAACACATGCCCCCACAGTCCTAGGAAACTTTTTCAGATGTTCTTCCGCCCTCCCATCCAGAATCTGAAATTTCCCCTTTACCCTTCCATTGGTCTGCTCTACCCTCATCCTAGTTCTGCTTTGCTGTTTGTTGTAGATGGCCGCTGTGTCGCTGAGCTGGCCGTTATTAGATGGTAGCTTGTATGGCCCCAATATGTTGCTGTTGTTGCCATAGGCGGCATCTGCCACAAGGCACATCCCATGTAGTTCTCCATTTTCGATTCCAGTGCGGGCTTCGCTATTGTTCCAAACTCGTGCATCGTTAACACTGCCCGGCCAGCCAACGTCATAGTGCCAAATGTTTCCGTTAGCATCAACAATGAGCTGTAAAATGATGCTGTAGATTCCTTTTCCATTCTGATAATCGGTCTTATGCTCACCGAAGCCATGCACTCGGATGTGAGTACCGTCAAGCGCACCAATGACGACAGGGATGCCACCGGGCTGTCAAAATTCTTCAGCCATGGCAGCGAGCTCGTGCTGCTGGGGCCACTGCACCCACAATGAGCCGAGCACCTCCACGCAGAAAGTCTCGAAGTCATCCCATATGTCCATGGCGGCGCTCCGACTAACGCCGAAATGCATGGAGAGCATTCGGAAGGACCAGGCCTGACCGAGCCTTGAGAGTCCTACTGAAACACGCAGCTGAGGGCTGAAGTGGAACCTATAAAACTGCAGCCGAGCGAGGATGTACTCCTCCGCTATGTAAAGGACCACGTGCCTCTCGACACGGAAGATTGACATGTAGAGGTCATCACTGAACTCGCAAAGTAGTGCTGCCATCTCATGCGCACGGCGCCACGATCTCGAAGCAGGCTTTCCTCACATGTGGCGGCCACAAGGGCGCTTACCAACGTGGGCAGGTGTTGGGCGAGAATGTTGGCGATTGGGCCTATCACGCAGGTGATGAGACCCTGGTGCATAAGACTTGACGTGCGGAGCAGTTGAATATCCATAGTGCCGTCGGCTATTCTATACTGCCTACAATCCTACTGAACCATGGTTGGGGATATGGCCCTCGCTTTAACCCTGGGATAGTCGCTGTCTCGATTGCCATGTGCTCGTTGTGCTCTGTTTTTGTGTTTCTGTGGCTTTTTCGAGAGGGAAATTGAGCCCTCCATTTTTTTCCCCTTGGGTGGAGTCGCGGCTCGTAATGCGTGTTCGCGAAAGCGGGCGGGGCCTCTTTCCCGGGGCGAAATTCAGTTACCCTGATGTTTTCGCGTGTTAGTCTGTTATGTGCGCGCTGCGCACCCGCTCATCTGTCGAGCCACGGGCGGGACTCATGTCCACTCGTGTCCCAGCGTTTTGCTGTTGATACATTAGGTGTACCTCAATACATTCACATTCGTCGAATCAATATTTCTGCGCGTGAAAAAAAGTCAAAAATTCGTCTTGGGGCAAAATGAACGCGCTGGACACGCCCTTAGTGTGGTCGTGATTAAATCCCGAGTCTAGAATGGTAGAAAACCATGATTACTGACCATGAAAATGTTGATATATATATATATATATATAATTGTAGGCTCCGTAATTGTGCTACTTACTGAATCCTACTGTAGAGGGGACTACCCCTCCCCCCCCCCTCCCCCCTTCTTGTATCTCCTTCTCTTCTATTCCAACACTCTCTCTTCTCTCTCGACATTTTCTCTCCTTCCTAAACCTCTCGCCATTCCATGGCTTCTCCCCCTAGCTAGCTCATTTTAACATGGTAACAGAGCAGGTTCAACCTGCTGGACCTTCTTCCCACGCTTCCGCTGCGCACTCTTCCTCTCTCTCTCTCTCTCTCTCTCTCTCTCTCTCTCTCTCTCTCTCTCTCTCTCTCTCTCTCTCTCTATCTCTCTCTCTCTCATTCTCTCTCTCTCTCTCTCTCTCTCTCTCTCTCTCTCTCTCTCTCCCTCTCTCTCTCTCTCTCTCACTCTCTCTCTCTCTCTCTCTCTCTCTCTCTCTCTCTCTCTCTCTCTCTCTCTCTCTCTCTCTCTCTCTCTCTCTCTCTCTCCCTCTCTCTCTCTTTCGCTGCCATGGCACCCTCGTCGCGCTGTCGTGGCGTCGTCGTTGTGCTGTCGTGGCGGCGTTGACGCACCAGCGCACGACTGGCAGCGGCAGCGCCGGGCCAGCCATGGCGCCGCGCTGACGTTTCGCCCCCCACCCCTTCCCCCTTCCCCTCCTCTGCCTTTCCCTTCCTCTCTGCCGCAGCCGCTGGCGACCTCATGCCGTCCTCCCTTTTGTCGCCTCAGGTTGAGCCACGCCGCCGTTGCCTTGGGTGCCGCAGCCGCCATCGCCAGGTGCCTCGACGCCGCCGCCGCCGCCGCAGTCGCCGACGCTGCCGCCGCCGCTGCGACCCGCCGTCGACGTCTCCACCTCGACCGTCGAGGGGTTGACCGGCTGGTCGAAGCCATTGCTGCTGCAGGGAATGGGGGTGCAAGGATGTGGGGGTGCTGGGGGTGGGATTGGCTTGCCACTACCAAGCCTAGGGGGTGTGTTAAATTATATTTTTCTATATATAATTGTAGGCTTGATAGTTGTGCTACTTACTGAATCCTAGTGTAGAGGGGACTACCCCCCTTCTTGTATCTCCTCTTCTATTCCAACACTCTCTCTTCTCTCTTGACATTTTCTCTCTTTCCTAAACCTCTCGCCATTCCATAACTTTTCCCCCTAGCTAGCTCATTTTAACAGAAAACAATGCCAAGAAAACTGGGCGAAAGTAATTTCGGCAAAGTTCCCCTGACGAACAAAGATTCTGGCGAAATCGTGGAACCATGATCGCATGACGGAACTTCTCCTGCAAGAACCGAATGCTACAATGTGAAAACAGTGTGAGGGGGGTGGGGGTTGGGGGGGGAACAAACATTGACGCGAGACCCCCACAAAATGCGTTCAGAATGGTTGCTAGCAAAACAAAAGAAATACTAAGATGAACAGTGACCGGCAATCGCAAGCTGCCCCCCGTTTCCAGTAAGTTGCAACGTTTTTCCGTTTTGTACCTCGTTACCCTTCATTTGACGAAAATATGTTCAGGATTCCTGAACTTGATAGCAAACCATTTTGAACTCGGGCTTTAAGTGTGTCGAGCACAAATGAAGCACAGGGCTAAATACAAGCACAGCTAACCTAGTAAGGGAGCCTCGAGGAGGGTAACGAAACACACGCGATGTGGTTTGGGGCGCCTCGGGACTCGGAAGTGTCGGATGCGATGCCGCGTGTAGGCTTGGTGGTCTCGAACGTAGTTCGTGTCAACTTATACATATCTCGCATATGTCGACGTAATAGGCTAGTAGGGTTCGTGCTCTTAGAGAGTACAGATTCCCAACCATATATTCCCCTGTATCCCCTTGTTCTTACTCACTATGTTATTCTAAGATGGTATCAGCTAGGTTAGGTCCGCTCACCCGCGCTTCCGCTCTAGACCACCGTAGCGGCCCTACCCTGCCCTAGCCCGCCCTAGCTAGTCCTAGCCGCCCTAGCTGACCGCTTGCCCCTTGCGCGCCGGCCCCTCGCCCGCTCGCCTCGCGCTCACTGGCCCTAGCGCACCGGCCCCTTGCCCGCTGGCCCCGCGCTTGCCGGCCCTAGTTTGCCGGCCCCTCGCCCGCTGGCCCCACTGCATGTCAGCCCTAGCACGCCGGCCCTTGCTCGCTAGCAGGACGCTGGCCGCCGGCCCTAGCTTGCTGGCCCCGCGCGCCTGCCAATAGCTCGCCAGCGGCCCGCTGCCAACCGACCCCTGCTCGCCGACCCCTGCTCGCCGGCCCCAGCTCCCCCCGGCCCCAGTCCGCGCCGGCCCCAGATCCCGCCGGCCCCTGCTCGCGCCGGCCTCATCTCCCGCCGGGCTCTGCTCGCGGGCCCCTAGTCGCGGCCCCCAGCTTGCCGGCCCCAGCCCCGCCGGCCCCCGTCCGCGCCGGCCCCTGTCCGCGCTAGCCTCAGTCGCCGCCGGCGCTAGCCGCGCCGAGCCGCCGGCCCATCGAGTCGCGGAGCCGCCGATTTGCCGAGCCCTTGAGTCGCCGAGCTGCCGTACTACCAGGCCGACCTGCCGGCCCTGGCTACCCCTTTGCGCCGGCGCTCCCCCCAGCCATCTCCACCGCTCTCCACCGCTCTCCATCGCTCTCCACCGCTCTCTACCGCTCTCCACCACTATCCACTGAACTCTCCTCCACCACCTCTAGCGGTTGTCAGCTGCTGCAGCCGTGGTGATGGCTGACGCTGTGCTCTGCCTGGACGCGGAGGGTCGAGCGATCCACTTTGAGGCATGGCTCGTTGACCTCCGCCGCTCGCTGAGGGGTCAGCGTCAGGATGGCCAATCCCTTGCCGTCCACGTCAACGGTAAGCTCCCTTGCCTCGACCCGCCTGCTACCCTCTCTGGCGCCGCCACGCTCGTTGAGCGTGAGGCCTTTGTGGCTGCTGAGCTCGCCTAATCTGTCTGGGAGTCGCATGACGGAGTTGCACAACTTGCTATCAGTTGCGCCCTCCCCCTATCTGAGCATCCCTGCTTTCAGACTATAGAGACTGCGAAGGAATTCTTAGATGTTGTCATTGCACGCTATTCCGCTCCCTCCTCCGCCTCTATCGGCCGTTTCCTGCTCCCCCTGCTCTTTCTTGATCTCTTTTCCTTCCCCACTGTCGCTGACCTCGCCGCTCACCTGCGCACGCTTGAGGCTAGCTACCGTGCTGCTAGCACTCAAGCCCAACTCACTGTACTGCCTCCCCCTCATTGGAGCTACCCTCTACTTCGCTGCCACGTGATTTTCCGAGACCACTTCCTAGGTCTCCACTCTGCTGACCTCACCCTTACCGAGTTTGTCACCACCCTATCTGCGATAGAGACCCGCCAGCGCACTATCGCTCAGTCCAGCGGTACTGCCACCATCCCCATCTTCCAAAGCTTTGCTCCCTCCTAGTGCACTAACTCTGACGTGTCTACCGTTGTCGTGGAGACAACCTCTGCTGCTAAGACCATCGCAGCGGCCTCAACGCAGTCTCGTCAGGGTAGGGGCCGCCGCCCCAAGGGGGGGCGTGGCGGAGGGAGGGGTGGCGGCGGTGGTGGAGATGGTCCGAGTTCTAGTGGTGCAGACGAGGGGACCATGGCTGATGCCCTGAAGCAGCAGCAGGAGCAGTCGCAGCCGCAGCATCAGCAGCAGCCCCAGCAGCAACAATCGCAGCTGCAGCCATGGAGACCTCTGCCGCCATGGTGGCCTGGCGTCTTCGGTGGTGGAGGTCGTGGTGGTGACGCGTGCAGCTCGGTATCGGGTGGCGGCTCAGTTTAGTGACCTGCCAGTACCAGCTCCAGACCAACTCAGTGTAGTGCCCCATTGCGGCACAGTGTGCGATCAACCCGGTCACACCGCCGTGCGCTGCTACCGTCGCCTTGAAAACCTCTTCCATCTCCGGTTCAGCCCTGCGCCAAACCTCCTGCTGGCACAGCCTGGTACGTCGCCGGGTGCCGGTCTTTGAGATGGATATGGATCAGATTAGGCCTGTTTTGTATGCCATGTATGCTGACCACTCTAGTGCCACTAGACCCTATTACCCTGTGTTGCCTCGTGTAGGTGTGTCCACTCAGCGTAGTCTAGGCTCACCTGCTACGTCAGGCATATGATCTCCTGCTTTGTTTAGCCTAGGCTGATGCTACTGCCACGCTCTCCTTCACGCTAGACTCTGGTGCGTCTGCCTGATTCTTTCACGACCGCACTACGCTCACGCCGCTTGCCAAACCTGCCACTGTAGGGCTTGCCGACGCCTCTTCAGGTCCGGTAGTTGCTCGTAGCTCCACCACCCTTGTCTGTAAGGCGGTTCTCTCGGGCTCCCTTACCGGCTTGCACATCCCCTCGTTCTCTAGGAACCTAGTTGGTGTCGGCTGTATTCAGGACCTCGGCGTCACCACTATGTTCCCTGGCCATGAGCGGTACACAGTCTGTACCGAGGCCGCCACTGGTGCCCTTCTTACCACGTTCCCTCGGGACCCCATGTCTGGCCTGTTCACGCTAAACACTGCGTCCCCCCCGGTCGGAGCGTCCCCACAGGTCACCGCGTCCACACAGGTAGCTGCAGCCTGCTCGTGTCGGTCGCTCACCCACCATTCCGTGCTGTGGCAGCACCCTCGAGGTCACCCCACTCTTCCGTGTCTGCGTCACATGTCCCATCATGGGCTTGTCCGTTATCTCCCTGCGTCGCTCAGTGCCCTTCCTCCCTCGCCTGTGCCACTGTGCACGCCCTACGTCGAGGGCTGGCTGCGCCATGCTCCCAACTCCTACTCACTCCCCCCTACCACTGCACCACTCCAGTCCCTGCACCTGGACGTTTAGGGTCCCGCCCCTGTCCCTGGTCCGCGTCGCGAGCGCTACTTTCTAGTGCTCGTCGATGACTTCTCGCGCTACACCATAGTGTTTCCCCTAGAGTGGAAGGCACGTGCGAGAAGCCCTTATCTCATGGGTCGTAGCTGCACGAGTCCACCGCGGCCTCCCCGTGCTGCGTCTCCACTCCGACCGTAGCGGCGAGTTCGCCTCCGGTCAGCTTGGCCAGTTCTGTTGTGCGAAGGGCATAACCCAGTCGTACACACTGCCAAAATCCCCGCAACAGAATGGGGTTGCTGAGCGACGCATCACTTTGCTCATGGAAGTGGCTCGTACCTCCATGATCCATGTTGGTGCACCCCATTTTCTGTAGCCGTTCGCCATTCGCTACGCCAGTCACCAGGTTAACCTGTGGCCACACTCCCACAGGGTTCCCTAGTGACGCGTCTGTGTTCCTCGTCTGAAATTGCCTTGCTCACGTTCATGCCTCTGGCACAGACAAGCTCACTGCCCGCACCGTCCCTTGTGTATTCCTTGGTTTCCCCCTCAACACTTATGACTAGCACTTTTACCACCCGCCGTCTCAACGTTTCTTTCACTCTCGTGATGTCACTTTTGACGAGTCTATCTCTTTCTACACCCGCTTTCCCCACCGAGGTCTCCCCGTTGCCCCGCCCCTGTTCGTGGTCCCCACTCCCCCGGTAGCCCCTGCTGCTCTTCGTCCCTGTCCTGCCCCGTATGGTATGTTTCACGTCACTCCCCTCCCGTCGGTTGTCCCGGTCGAGGAGTCGGCTGACTCCTAAGGCCCCAAGGCTTTGGTGTCACCACCTGTCTCTGCCCCGGTG